ACACATCTGTACTCACTGACACATCTGTACTCACTGACACATCTGTACTCACTGACATTTAACACAGGGGGATTGGATTTAGATCTAGTTTTTCATTGATGCCGATTCTGTTTATGCTTTTGTTATTATTCCTATTTAACACAAGGTCATCAGATCTGATTTAGTATTTCATTGTTTCTAATTGTTTTTGTTTTATATTTTTATTCCATGTGCAGTAAATATATCTTGCTACTTTTTATTTGATGATGTGATATTTTTTGTTAAGCACTTAAAAAAAAAAAAAACCTACAGTATGACTTTTTATAACTGTTTATTGTTGTCGCTGTTGTCCATTGTTGTCATCTTTCTTTGTTGAAATCGTTGGTTACGTACTGTAACCCCAGATTCTATGAATATAGGCGTAGCCCTTTAAGGCTGTCGCTTGGTGGGTTTATCCCGTTATGCGGAGCATTTGCACTGAAAAAATTTAGTCCACGCCCACCTGCTGTGTGGGCCCTACCCGGTCCGTATAAATTACGTTAAGAGCGGGAAATCGGCTCCCAAAAATAGCTTTTTCTTCAGCCATTTAGGAGCCAGTGAGGCCCGACGCTTAAAGGACTACGCTTATACTCATAGAATCTGGGGTTACAGTACGTAACCAACGTTCTATTTCATATAGGCTTCGCCCTTTAAGGCTGTCGCTTGGTGGGTTAAGGGCGAAGCAGATGTGGTCCTCACCTCACTGGGTCCATTCGAACACCGTATGAAGCAGAAGCTTGCCCAAAAAACGTCTTGTCACTCAGCTCCCATGTACGTAATTACGCATTGCGTAATTATGTGAGCCATGCATAGACGCATGTTGTGTAACTATGCGTTCATGGCTGAGCAGTATAGACAGATTAATAATAACAAATGACTGATTATTAATCAAATGAACTGATTGGTAACAATAGTCATGAACTGATTAGTGACAATAGAACCAAAATAACAGACACAACTTGTGACTGATACACATCTCACACTCTGAAGCATGCCGACAGATGTGAATTAAACAGAGTTCCATGAAAACAACAATATTCATTCTGTTAGAGCACTAAGGACAGAATGTGTCATGGAACGAACCGTCACATCACGTAGATAAGAGCGAATGAATGAGCAGGGTGCTGACCATGCGGCCGCAGTGCAAATGTCCTGCATTGTCATACCATTATGCAGAGCAGTCGAAGATGCGATACCCCTGGTCGAGTGTGCTTAGAGGTTGACAGGAGGCTCTAAATCTGATGCTCTGTAGGCTTCAGAAATGGCCTCACACAGCCAGTGTGACAAGCGCTGGATGGATAACGGCGACCTGCAGGTGAATCTCTATAATGCACAAAAAGATGTTGAGTTTGGCGCATTACAGCCGTGCGCACTATGTAACACGTCAACGCCCGCTCCGGACAAAGAAGATGGCAAGATGCTTCTTCTTCTGATCTGTGGGGGGGGGGGGGGGGCCCCCTCCAACGATATCGCTCTTGATTTAAAAGAGCTCGTGATGTTTTTAGACATAAAGGCTGGGTTTGGTCTTAAATCAGCTGAGCTGCCTGTCAGCCTGAATTCTAAGACATGACGGAGCGACAGAGAAAGCAGATGAAACACTCACCCTCTTAGCGGATGTTAAAGCCAGCAGCAGGGCTGTTTTAAGAGACAATAATTTAATTTGAACCTGATCCAGAGGCTCAAATGGAGCTTTGATCAGGGCTCGCAGGACCAGCGTTAAATCCCACTGTGGCACAAGTGGGCGTGAAACAGGCCTACGTCTCTGTATGCCTTTTAGAAACCGCTTCATCAGCGGGTGATTAAAAGCTGTTCTGTCTCCGAACCCTTCATGGCAGGAAGAAATGGCTGCAGCGTACGTTTTAATCGTGCTGAAATGGCAACTTCCTGTCCATCAGCTGTTGTAGAAAAGACAGCACGCCGCCTAATGGACATGAGGTGGCCTCTACACCTTTCTCTATACACAAGCGCTGAAAAACTGTCCACTTTGATGTGTACAGAGCTGTGGTAGATGCAGCACGTGAATCCTGGATTGTGCGCACTACATCCTGTGGGAGACCCATCCTCTCTAAGCGGAACCGCTCAGTGGCCGGACCCACAGGTGCTGGCCTATTTCTGAGTAACTCCTGATCGCTCCTCCTGCCTGGAGGAGAGCGTCCTCCCTTCATGGCAGTTTCCACAGGCGCCCCGACAGCGGGCGTTGTAGGGCTGAGAACCATGGTGTGTTCACGCACTCGGGGGCCACCAGGAGAGCTGTCAATCCCTCCTCCTGAACTCAGTTCAGGAACCGTAAAATCAGAGGAGGTGGAGGAAATGTGTGCAGAAGCGTTTTGGGCCATGGGCTGTGGGCAAATGCATCCACCCCCAGTGGTGGTTTGTCTCGCGGTCTCAGGGAAAACCATAGTTGACACTGAGCGTTCTCTCGTGTCGCAAACAGGTCCACAGCTGCTTTGCCAAATTTCTGTCACGTCTAAGTCATCAGGTCTGGATGGAGAGTCCAGTCCCCGTGACGTGGGCCGCCCCTGGACATCACATCTGCCCCTTTGTTCAGAACACCGGGTATGTAAACTGCTCTGATGGAGAGCAGATTTTGGTGAGCCCAACACAGAAGCTTTTGCGCAATGTGTAACTTCTGGGCTGAGCACATACCCCCCTGTCGGTTTATGTACGCAGCAGTCACCTTGTTGTCTGTGTGAATCAACACATGTTGATTCTGTAGCACGGGAGCAAAGTGCTGAATCACATTCAGCACCGTGCGACACTCCAAAACATTTATGTGGGCTGATGTGTGATGGGGCCACAGCGCCCCTACTGCTTGAGATAGGCATGTCCCCGCCCAGCCTGACAGCGACGTGTCCGTGAAGACTGACACGTGACGTGGGTCTGCTGACGGGGGCTCCCTCCGACAGAACCAGGGTGTTTCCCCAGTGTCGGAGGTCTGCCCTCACGGAGGGAGGGACAGTGATCATCCGTCTCTTTGTTTTACTGGATCCACACGCAGACGCACAAACCACCTCTGGTGACGTCTCATGTGTAATAAACCCAGCGGGACCACTGTGTGAGCTGATGACATCATTCCTAACAGCTTCATGACAGGGACAGCTGTTACCACTCTGCCAGGTCTTACGTGGCAGAGCTGGTCTCTTAAAGTGTCGATTCTCATTTGTGATAAACAAGCCTTCATGGTGGTTGAATTTAACTCCACTCCCAGATAAACAATTGTCTGGGCCGGGAAAATCAAGCTTTTCTTCCAATTTATGGCGAAGCCCAGATTTGACAGGTGTGATGTCAACACCTGAGCCTGCGGTCACTGCTTCCTGTCTGGAGCGTGACCGCCGCAGCAGGTCGTCCAGGTAAAACAAAACTCTCATCTCTGCTCTGTGTAATGGATGCAGGGCTGTCTCCACACACTGAGAACGTACGAGGTGCGAGGGAATACCCGACCGGCAGCCCGTTGTACTGATACTTCATCCCCTGAAAGGAGAAAACGCAGGAATTTTCTGTGTTGGGATGATCGGTATGCGTTTCTCTGGATGTTGTTCAACAGCTGTCTGGTTGTCAACATGTGAAAACGGTCTGTCCATGATCGCCTTGTTGAAAGCTGACAGATCCAAAATCGGTCTCATCCCTCCGATCCATTTGGGAACCAGGAAGTAACGTGAGTAAAACCCTGTGTTTTCCTCTCCATTGGGAACCCTGGAGATTACTTTTATCAGAAGCACTTGGACTTCTGCATTGAGGGATGAGATTTGGTCTGGTGATGACAGAACCGTCTATATAACTCCTCCGAATGGAGGGGGTCGGGTTGCAAACTGTAACTTGTAACCATTTGCATAACACCTTGTCCATCCATCTGACCGGCAAGCATGTTTTAGCCACTCTACGTAACGTTCGTGGAGTGAACGTGCGTTTAAGTGATGCGTCATGTTTTGTATGGCTGTCACCAGTCCGCCTTTCAACCGCCGTCATGTGTCGCGGGAATGTTTTCCGCGTGACCCAGGGCGAGGCTTCCTCGAAAAACCAGTCTTTGCCGTAATGTATTTTGGGGTTTAAAAGCCCAAAATACAATAAAGACTGGTTCATCCCAAAGATCCAGTCCCCCGGCACAAACAGAGTAATATTGTGTATGCTGTTCAGTGTCAGGAGGGTGATCAGTCTTACATCGGGGAAACTAAACAGCCACTGGCCAAAAGGATGGACCAGCACAGAAGAGCAACATCATCAGGCCAGGACTCTGAGGTCTACACTCATCTCCAGGCCAGAGGTCACTCGTTCAGGGATGAAGATGTTCACATCCTGGATAGAGAGGAACGATGGTTTGAGAGAGGAGTAAAGGAGGCCATCTTTGTGAAAAGAAACCGTCCATCATTAAACAGGGGTGGAGCCTCTGGGTTCAACTGTCCCCCTCTTACAATGCTGTGATTGCTAGTATCACTCAGCCCTCTGTGAGTAGTAAACAGCCATCAGTGTGCTAATAATCCATTGTTAGGCTGATGGTCCTTCTTGAGCATGTGAGCAGCTGGTTTTGGTTGTCAGCAGCAAACTGGTTGATCCACTCTGAGAAGGTGCTATTTAAGAGACTGAGCTGAAAACAGCACCTCAGACTGAGGAAGTCCTCAGGATGAGAGACGAAACGTTTCTACAGTTTTTTGCTTTGTTTTGTTTTGTGTTTTTTTGAATGTCCAGAGGACCAGATTGAACTTTTTTGGATTTTTCTACCTGGATTATTGAGCATGCATCAGGATATTTTAGATAGTTCTGATGCCTATAACAGAACGCCTCAGAGTTCTCTTAGAAGAGCTGGAAGAAGTGGCTGTGGAGAGAGATGCTGGACATCCCTGATCCAGATGCTGCCCTGAGACCCGAGTCCAGAACCAGATGAATGATGTCACCATTAAGTCTGATCTGTTTTAAATGAACGAGCAGCAGAGGCTCTTCATCTCAGCACATAGCTGCAGGAGCTACTCAGCATGGTGCGGTCCTGCCTGACCTGTTTGAACTGCTGGCACTCAACGGTTTGAAGCCTTTGGAGACATTTTCAGTAAAAACTGCAGCAGACAATGTCATGAGATGGTTTGATCTTTGTGACAGTATTTATATATATATATATATATATATATATATATTTATATATGAGTTCTTCTGATGAGATGTTCTCACACTGCTGATCATTGATAACCAACAAGATCTTCTTTGCGTTCTGCTTGGATCTCAACACCTTCACTCCTGACTTCCCTTCTTTTGTGATGCAAATCTGAATTAGTCATAGCTTAAAGAACAGAACTCAGACTGTAATATTTCTGTTCTCTGGTGCTTGAACAGCAAGCAAACATTTTCAATAAGCCTCCTTTATATGTGAAGGCGGAGCTCAGAGAACGTATCAGGACGAGGGCGGAGCTCAATGTTCCTGACTTATCTACAGAGAACATATAAAAAATAAGTCATCCTAGCAGCACAATGATTTGAAATAGTGCGAAAGTGACCAAAACATTCGATTCTGGATTCGGAATTGGTCCCTGAAACAAACAGAACCAGCAGCCAGTGATGAGTAGTTCTGGGTGGTGATGAGGACAGTGTGGGTCAAACAGGGCTCTCTGAGTGTTTTCTGTCAGGATGGAAGGTGAATCAGAACACGCACGCACATTCACACACATATGAGTGTGTAGAGGTCAGGTGGGAGGTGTGTGAAACTGTTGTGGTACCGGGTCATTCTTTTAAAAAGCCCATTTGTCTTGGAGCTATAACTTATCACAAACAATATTGATCCACATGAAGGTAACTATTTATCTGAGGCAACATGCTGGAGTGGGTCAGAATGGCTCATTTGGACCTGCGTTACTTAGAATTGATGAGCTGTGAGAGGAGGTATGTACGGATTCACAAAGGGACAGGAAGTAAATGGAAAAAGGAAACGGAACTTACTCCGTTGGGGGGGTAGGAGGTCCAGCCCAGTTCTGCCTGAGTCTCCTTTGAATTCAGCAGAACCACTGCAACAGAAAAACAAAGGAGAAGAAGAGCAGAGGTCAGAGGTCAAAGGTCAGAAGTCGGGACAAAATGACGAAGCAGAAAAAATGTTTATCTATAGAAACAAGTCAATGATGGACTAATGGGTCATTCATTCAACATTTATTTAGACAGATAAACCCCACTGACCCTCGAGGACTCATTTAGAAGAGAGACCTGATTTCAACAAAGAAAGATGACAACAATGGACAGTTATAAAAAAGGCATACATATTTTTATTTTATTATTTTTTATACAAATAAGATGCAAGAAGAGTAACAAACAGCTAGATTATAAGGCGAATGTAGAAAACTAAAAACAGGAACATGTCTGCATTGGTCCCTGCCAGGAGTCCAAAAGAATTTTAAAGCCACTTAGAGAGGTCAAAGGTCAAGAGCTTCAGATGTTTTTACAAGGTATTCCAGGAAACAGGAGCGGAGTAGGAGAAGGTCCTTTTGTCTAGTTCAGTCCTCACTGAGGGAACACTGCAGGTAATAATGTCCTGAGAGCGCACGCTGTAGCTGCACTCACACAGAGACATGTAGGAGGAGATGTATGAAGGCAGCAGACCAGGAAGTGATTTAAAGATGAAAATATACCAGTGGGAGAGTCTGTGTGAAGTTAATGGTGACCAGTTAACCAGTGAATACTGGGTGCAGTGGTGGGTACGGTAGTTACAGCCAGTTATGAATCTTAGTGCACCATGATAGACAGCATCCAACATCTGCAGCATCCAACATCTGCAGCATCCAACATCT